TTTCTTTCTTTCTTTCTTTCTTTCTTTCTTTCTTTCTTTCTTTCTTTCTTTTCATCAAATCCATTTTCTGTCCTCTACTCATTTTGTAAATTTATAAGTATCTCTTTCTTTGTGTTATGAATATTTTATCCTGGTCTTTTGCCTTCTTGCTCTTGCCTCGTCAGTGAGTCCATTCCTTCACTGGAATCCCAGCATCTCTACTGAAGACCAGTTGAGACCTTCAGCCTTGTGGACTGAGTGGATTCTGGATTCTTGAACTTTCCACTCATAGCAAGCCATTGGATGAGCCAGACCACAACCTCAGTTCTGTGGTATTCTCAGTCACACATTTATGGAGTTTCTGAAGGGCAGTGAAGATTACTGCCAAGCACAGCACGACCTCTATGCAGATAAGTGAACTGTAGAAATTCATTACTACTCCACCAAGAAGCCCCCATAGGAGTGGATAACCTGGACACAGGCGTGTTGAATTGAAATCTGCAGAGCATTTCCGAGAGCTCAGACCTGGATGGGGTAAACCTCAGTGCACTTCCTTTGTATTGCCTCGGTCTTACTGGATTGAAGAATCACCGCTTTTTGTTAGGAAGTTCATTTCATTGCCCGTTTCTCCTAATTCATACTCAAAGCACTGAGAATTTCAAGTGGAGTATATTGAATATTGAAGTAGACTTCAGGTTGTTTTTTGTTTTTGTTTTTTTGTTTTGAATCGTTTCTGTATTCAATTTTTTAATTCTTTCATAGCCCTTTTGGGTGTTTTTTTAAACTAAATTAACATGGCTCGAATGAACCGCCCTGCTCCTGTGGAAGTCACATACAAGAACATGAGATTTCTTATTACACACAATCCAACCAATGCAACCTTAAACAAATTTATAGAGGAACTTAAGAAGTATGGAGTTACCACAATAGTAAGTGTATGTGAAGCAACTTACGACACTACTCTTGTGGAGAAAGAAGGCACTCATGTTCTTGACTGGCCTTTTGATGATGGTGCACCACCATCCAACCAGGTTGTTGATGACTGGTTAAGTCTTGTGAAGATTAAGTTTCGTGAAGAACCTGGCTGCTGTATCGCTGTCCATTGTGTCGCAGGCCTTTGCAGAGCTCCGGTGCTTGTTGCCCTTGCATTAATTGAATGTGGAGTGAAATATGAAGATGCAGTACAATTCATAAGACAAAAGCAGCGCAGAGCTTTTAACAGCAAGCAACTTGTATCCGGAGAAGCACCGTCCAAAAATGCAGTTCTGCTTCAAGGATTCCAAAAGTCATAGAAACAACTGTTGTATTCAATAAAACTGGGGTGCCTGATGCCATTGCCTTGGAAGTGGAAATTCAGATGAGACCTGATTTGTCATACATAATTATTCAATGTCTCGGCTTACCGAATAAGTCTGCTGAAGCGCCACAGGAATATTGAAAACCAGTTTTAGCAGGCCACAAGCTTGACAAAATTGTAACCTCTATATTTGGGCTATGATCAACATGTTTGGACACTTAGCAAATAATTTTTGCTGGTCAGCATTAAAAATGTGCTTATTATTTGTACCAGTTGACCTTTCCTAAAATAAGGTATTGAGTTATGTCATTAAATGTACTCCTGTGCCAGAATATTATTAGTCTATAAGGAATTTAGAAGGAGTAGGTGCCAAAATACCCAGCACAATACATGTAGATTTTTAGCATCATACAGAATCCAAATTGCAGGAACTAAGACCTCTCTAGACCTTCCATGGTGTATTCCTCCAGTCATTTCAAACTCTGCAGGGCTTCTCTTGTTATCTGCCTGATCACTGTCTACATCTCCCACATTTACACCAGAATGCATCAGGCTTGCTTAGCCATCTTTTTTTTTAAACGAAGTATTGTGCTGATTATTTAATGTCTCTGTCTTTATGTTGTGCTGTTTTGAGAAACCTCCTTTTGAAAATCAACTTTGTTACATAAGCACATATCTTCAAAAAAGTCTCCAGACAAAAAGCCTTATAGTTAATTTAATGTTTGCACTCAGAGGTGCAACTTAACAGAGGGCCTGAAAAAGAAACAAGAGGAGACTAGTAAATATTTTTAGTAATATGTTGTCTTTGTCTTGTGCAGAGCATGTAGAGTATGCTCTTTAAGTTAGTAAATATTTTTAAGACATAGAGATACATTGTTGTAGCTACCCAATTCTTAATCAAAATTTTTGAAATTCTTGTGTTTTCCATGCCTATCAGAAGTTTTCCAACTTGTTTGAATTATGGTTTTCCCCTTCTCTTCCTAATCTCTTGCAAAAAAGAAAAAAGTGGGATCTGCAAATGAACTGAGCAGAAATATTTTTTACGCCTTTTGAGCTATGTAACTTAATAATTGGATACTTGATCATTTGTTTTATTATGTAATCGATAAAATGGTGATGTGTATTAATGTTAGTTCAACCATATATTTCTACTGTCTGGGGATGTGTGGTTATAGTTATGTGGGACACATAGTTTGTCAGTATTCACCAGCTTGTAAAAACTTAGTGTGAGAGCTTCAGCATCTAAATAAATGATGAAACACACACACAAAAAAAGAATATTTTTATCCTATGAATGTTGAAACTATTTTCTATATTTGAGGTGGGATTCTTCCCTATCTATTGCTATTATTTTTAATTATGATCTTTTAACTGTAGTACATATTTTCTGGATATTTTGTGTCCAGATTTAACATGTAACATTTTCTTTGACCAATAGACTGTGTTCTTCTACTGTATTTTCTATGACTGGGATCCTACCTTCTGGCTCCAGTATTCTATTGGTAATGCTTCTGTCAGTAGCTTCTTTCTTTTACACAAGTATTTGATCTCCAGGATATCCTCATATTTTTTTTTATTGCTTCATTGAGTGGTTTGAATATACTTGGCTCATGGGAAGTGGCACTATTAAGAGCTGTGGCCTTTTGGAATATGTGTGGTATTGTTGGAGGAAGTTCATCACTATAGGGATGGGCAATGAGTTCCTATGCTCAAGCTTGGCCTCATATAGAGAAAACCCTCCTTCTGGTTGCCTGCATAATATAGTCTCATTCTGACTGCCTTTGAATCAAGATGTAGAACCCATATCTTCCCTAGCATCCATCTCTGTATGCAAATTGTTGTGCTTCCTATCATTATGACAATGGACTGAACATCTGATTATGTAATCTAGCCATAATTAAATGTATTACTTTATAAGAGTTGCCATGGTCATGGTATCACTTCACAGGAATGAAACCTTAACACTCTTCCATTTATATGTTTCATAAATTAGACTATTTTATTCTTCCCCATCAACTGCTTGATTATAGTTTCCTGTATTTCTGAATGGCATTCATGTATTTACTATTTAAGGCCTACAACACATTCATAAAATTGAATTAAGTGTGATTTTCTTCCACTTCAAATGTGTTAGAAGATCAAGGGCTTGCTGTGGTTCTGGTAGTGCCATATTTCCATGGCAGGTGTTGATTTTGTTTTAACGCTGGCCTTTAGTCATCTAGGCTTTACCTTTTGTTATAGATTTATATGCTGATTTCTGAGTTTACCTTTCTTGATTGTATGTTTTGGATGTTCCTTCCATGCCCCTTTCTTTCTGTTTCCTCTTTGTCTTCTGGCCAGTGTGGCTTGGGATTCTGATGAATATGATTGTTCACTACGGGAGTGCTCTCTGAGATTTTTGTTGCCTATATGGCTTCATGGATTAAGGATGGAAACCTTGACTCTGGGATCTGTGCTACCACCCTGCCTTGGTGTCTATTGTGTATGTGGGCCCCAGGCAAAGCAGCAGGACTTTTGGACTAGAAAATTGAGAGGGTGGACTTAAGGCTGTTGCATGTTCTTTAAGGGGAGTTGACAAGCAAAGGCTTGGGACATGGTCTTACCTGTTTGCCTCGGGTGCTGGAATGCCTGCAGAAAACTGGCAGAGTGATTGGCCAGAAAATGAAATGCAGGGTACATGGTCTGTATCATGTAATTTCAATAATATACTTAGAGGCATCTATTAGTTACTTAAGTTGAATGAAATGCCTATGCCTGATATTCATTCCAGTCCAGTTTTCATATTTGTATGAGGGAAGATCACACAATGAATTCAGTGGCATGACTTTTGTGTTGGAACATAGACAGAGATAGATTCGCCTCTAGGTAAGGCACAGACAACAGACCTGTCCCAATAATGTATAACCTGGTGAATCAATTACTTTATTTCTGCTTTATGTAGAAAGATGGAAGAAGTGACTCCTGGAAAAGTATGGGTGTCTCAAGCAACTGCATCACCAAAGGCTTATCTCATCGTAGCTGCCCACTCTCAATTATCCAGTAAGCTACTTGATCCACAACTCTCCCTGTGCTGACTGCAGCCTGCTCTGCCAAAGATATTTCTTTTGTAAAGTGGGTGAAAGTTGAATCTTTCTTAGTGCCTGACTCTTGAAACTTTCACTATCTTCCTGAGTCTAATGAGCTTCTTTATTGCCCAAAGGGCAAATTGTCCAATCTTAGGAAAGAGCTACACAATAAGAACTCTCAAAATTCTGACTCATATTAATTGTTTTCAGTTTTATTAAATACAATAAGTTTATTAAGAAAGATATTTCAGCCCACAACTTATCTTACTTTTAAAAAGTATGAACAATTAGTTATATTCTCTTCACTATTATGTTAATGGTCAGACACTTTATAAAATATGAGTGCATATTTGCGTTTACTTACACTAAAAATAAATTGCAACATAGAAGTAAATTGAAGTAAATATAATCATGTTTATTAAAATTATTGAATTGTTAATTATAAAAATGTAATCATTGGCATTGAGAACATAGTTCATGGGTAAAACAACTGTCAGTGAATCATGGATTTGAGTTTGGATATCCAGAAATTATTTTAAAAAGCAGGCATGCTATCATTCTTATATCAGTGTTGGGAGGTTAAAAAAGGAAAATCCAATAAATTATGAGCCAACTAGTCAAGCAATCGATAAGTTCAGATTTTAATGAGACACGCTATCTCAACAAACAAGATGGAGAGTACCTCCTGCCACACAGAACACTAGAAAATCACAGTGTTGCAGTAAAAATGGTGCCACAGATTGCCCTTTTAGTGAACTAGAAGTTTGTGAGCCAGAATTGTGTAGTAGGAACTAAGGTGGGAGGAGTAAGGAGAGGAAAGGGAGGAATAGGGAGGAGAGGAGAAGAAGGAAGAGGTGGAGCTAGGGGAGAGAAACCAGAGAGAGGGGGGAAAATGGATGCAGATACTCACATGTCTCTTGCAGTCAAAGGTAGTTGGTATATCTAGGTTGGGTATTGAATTACACCTCTGATTGAGTGGTTATCTTGTTATTAATCATTACCAAATATATAAGACTTTGGTTAATCTTTAAGCATTAGAGTCTCATTTTTATACGGGGCCCAGGTAGATGGTTGGATGGTCTGGGCAATGAAAAGCCTTGCAGAGATAGCACACCCAGCCTTGGGAGATTGGCAGAGCCATCTCACATGATGGCGTCTCGTAGGTGGCAGGGCTGGTGTTCCTGGCTGGCCATTTCTAGCTGTGGCGTGCAAGTGTCCTCTGGCCTAAAAATATGGCAGCTGAGCTAGGTAGAGCTGCTGAAGCTTAGATAGTTGGCTGACGGGTGGACTATTTTTAAATTAATTACTTCAACAGAATTGTATTTAGATTTTTTAAAAAAGTGAAATTTAGTGAGTTTCAAGACTCTCAAGTATCCTTAAAAATTTAATCCTACTGATAAAATGTGTTCTGCTACATACTTATTTTCAGAAAAGCCATTGTTAGAATAGTTAAAGTTTTCATTGTATTTTTACATTTACTTTTTTGTCATTAAGTAAAATGTGAATGTATGTGTTAAGAATTTAAAACCAACTCTGAGCAGCCTGCTATCCCAGGGGGACCTCCATTCTACTGCTACCACTCCTTCAACACTTTCAGACTTACGAACCTTATAGGTAAGCTTCCATTTCCCTATAAAACTTCTATGTTTTCTGAGGCTTCTGGGCCAAATCAAGCTGTCCTGAGAAGTCTGCAATCCCAGAGGTACCTCTGTTCTCCTACAGTCTTTCCTCCATACCTGTCAGACTTCTGAACCATATACGTTAACTCTCCTTCCACCACACATCTTCCTATGTTCTGAGCACACTGGGACAACCCAAACTCCCTGTAAAGCCCCCTATCCTAAGAAGACCTCCACTCTTCCTCCATCTTTCCTCCATCCTTCCTCCATCTCCACCATACTACTAGGATACCATCAGAAGCTTGCCACAT